ATGTTATGTTGGGGGCAACACGCCTGCCACGACGGAGAGGTACCTGCTGCCATTCCTCATCGCGCTTCTCCTCAGCCTCACAGACAAAGGGTGAGGGGTCCACAGCCTTGGTGACCACATGTTCCTCTTGAGCTTGCGAGAGGGAGGATAGGGTGTTACACCAGTAATCTATCTCCTTCTCACACTCTCTAATGGTTCTCAGCCTGGTTACCTCCTCCCTCAGCTCTGCCACCAGACAGAGGACTTCCTCCACCCGGGCACAGCTCAAACCCTAAATTCTTAGGGTTGGGAGTAAATTTTTTTTGTCCAGCTTTAAATATTAAATAGTTGATTTTCATAAGCTCTGGTGGAGTCTTCAGATACTGAAGTGAGTATGATGATCTATCGCGTTAATTCTCCCCAACCCAATTATTAAGGCCTCCTCCTTTTAGGTACATAACAGAATTTACTGCCTGTTTCTCTAACCTGCCTTCTGAGAAGTCTGTGTTGCAAGATTCCAGTGCAAGGAAAAGAGCAAACAAAACTGCTGCTCTTTTTGGTAACAGATGACTAAATGCTCAGGAAATCATATGGACACCTTTTGTCTCCAGTAGACAGCACTTTTTCTTATTATTAAATAGGATGCAGCTCAGTACCTGGCACAGAAGAAGAAGCTGCTAATAGCTTATGTATTATTATGTATCATTTTTCCATCATGATCTGACAGACCTTAACCTGCTTTAGCAGACGGAGCTACCATCTTTGAGTTAAGATCTGTGACCTGTAACAACTAACTTCATTTTCAATCTTAGTTTAATTAATATTTGCTGGACAGTCTGAATAGTCACAATTTCATTATCTTTCTAAAGAAAGGGAAAAAAAAAATCAGAGTATTACCTAAAAGCAATGAGTATAAAGGTTAAACTATCTTACAAACATGACACATCGAGAAATAGGAGGTTTATTTTAAAACTATGAATTCAAGTGCTACTACTCATGGTAAAAAAAAATAAATTGAAGAAAACAAAACAGACAGGAATTGCTTTAGGCATTTTCTTTTGTGCATTCTTCCAGTGGTAAAGGAATCATGGAATAACATATTAAATACAAAGACTATTAACATACCTTTCCTTATATATTCAGATGTTTCTTTTAAGGGAAATTAGGTTTCATTTTCCATGGTTAATGCAGGATTGCTCATACCTTTAAAGACAAAAAATGACATTTCCATAGGAAAAGCTCTCCTGTCTCTATCGGCAGATAATACAACCTTTAATTAACAATCCATCTTAATGTCATTCCAGGTCTATTCTTGCCCTGTGTCCATACATGGCTTTTCACTAGTTGCAACAAGGTGTCATCATAGTCTGGTATAGGCAGTTTGTCTCCAAAAGAATCATCAGGCTCAGCCTAAAAGATAATTAGCACCCACTGATGTTAGTGCTCTCAGTATCTCTTGGTCAGGTTTAACTGGCAAGGGCACAGCAGCTTGATACATGGACCTTCCTACAAACATGCCTTTAAAATAGGCTTTGTGAATTTTGGTTCATGAACACAAACCAATTTTTACCCTATATCCACCCAAGCTAGTTTGTTGCAAAACAAATCCTTGCAGCATAAATCAATTCCTTACCAACTTTGCCCTTTTCAGCTTTTGCAGTAGTTTCTGACCAAGACGGTGTATCTGTGAGAAGGTGGCTCTGGGAATCACGCAAGGGCTTTGCAGGAAACAGGTGGTTCTCACTGTAATGCCAATAAAAAGAACATTGCAGTAAACTGCAGAAAAATGGTATTATCTTAACACAAATTACAAAGAATTCGTCATATACAGTATTTTCCCTGCATGACCTTGCTTGCTTTGCTGATGAATCACTACACTTTTATCATTACATATATTACATTGTCGTTGTCAGAGACGCAAGCGCAATCTAAAAAGCAACTCCCTAGCACAGAACAAGGAAACAGTCTGGTTTTTTAGGTTGACAGCTATTATCTATTAGTACATGTACTTCAGCTCCAAATGCACTCTATCCATATTCTTTCCCACTACAACAAACCTTGCATGATAAATAGTGGAGAGAACACCTCCAAAATCACTTGCCTAATATAAACTATGGACCACTGCGGTAAGATTTAAAAAGTTAATAAGCAGCTCGCTGAATTGTAATGTATTTATGAATAAAATATTGTCAATATGATTCCATTATCATTTCTTAGTCACATACTCAAGTCTACTATCACACTCTACTTATCACACTCTTCGTTACATAACTGTTGCAATTAGTTAAAATATGAAATACAAAGCTATTTATTTAGTTTAAAGAGCATCTAGATACTTTTAAAGATGTCCTGTCTGTGAAGGATAAGAATTAAGAAAATGTACCCTATTATCAGTAGAAACAAAATGTGTATTTAATATGCAGCTTCCTGTGCTTTGGGACAACTGCTGAGACCTGAGATTCCCTTCTGTGAAGCTTCTTTCACCAGATACAAAGAAGCAGGCCACCCCAAAAGCCTTGCAAAGTCATGCACCCCTGTCACAGGCAGATGGACCAACAGTCTCGGATGTATGCACAACAGAGTGTCGCTGACAGCAGATGTCAGGCAGGTGTGGAAAACTCAGGACCTG